TAAAAGATCATAAGGGTGCACTAATCACATTTCCAGCACAATGAAACCGAATCAAACGAAAGCAAGCTGTTGGGTCAAGGATTTCCTGATGCATTGACCCTCCAGAGGAACTCGTAACCTTTTGGTGCAGAGCTAGAAATATAGAGAGCTGCAATTACTGAAAGGAAACAGTGCTGCAGCACTGTAAAGACCTAGCAGAGAGGGGAGGGGACTCTAGGGGACACAACTGGGGACCCCGCAATGAGTGGGTAAGATTAGAGGAACAGGCAATAGAGGAGAGGAAGACTCCCATCTTCCTGCAGAGCGAAGGACCTGGGAAAGAAGGGGCTGGATGGGGAGAGGAGACATCTCAGCATAGCTGTAAGAAAATGGGATATCTGGTAAGTGAGCAAGCCCGCTTACTTGTGAAAGAGGATCTGACAGCAATCTGAGTCCTGCTTCCCTTATTCCCATCTTGCCAAGATTGAAGAATGGTGGGAAGATCAATGAGTGAGCTTAACAGATGGGTTTGTACTTCTCATATTGCTTCAGGTTGCATTAATCTCTGTGGTGGGTTCTTATTTAGCTGAGAAAATGTCACCAAAACAAATGAACCGGAGCAGGCTGATACGCTATCAGCAGATGTAGAGAATCTCTTCTGCATATTGTAGATAGAGGCAAACAGTCAGCATTCTCACTTGTCTGCTCCCCGCAGCCCCTCCAAAACTAATCAAAGGTATCACTTGCTGATTTGGGAGTACAAATTTCTAAAATCAGTAGACACTTTGAACAGAGAAATGGGTAGAATCAGTCAAGGAATGCAGACGACAGCAGGGAAGTGAGGTGATGTAGTGGAGGAGTCCAAGAGTCAGGGAACAGGGACAGAGGAGGGGTCAAAGTAGAAAGGAGACATAGTCAGGTGTTGGGAGAACTGCCTTGGAGTGGGGATGATTCACTTCTGTCCATGAAACCATCAAATCCCTGCCTGCATATGCATTCCCATTTCAAGAACATGCCACTACTTGTACTTTTCTTGCATCCTCTCCTGGTTCCTGAACCAACATAGTCCTTTCAGTGTATCAGGTCCAGAAAAGAAAAGTGATATTTTGCTGGGCTTGCTGAGAGTGTCCACGATGAAAAAAGGAAAGGATGGAGGAACAGCAAAGGAACCAACAGGGATTTGGTGCATTCAGCAGCCAGTTACTCCAGAAGAGGCAGAGGAGTATAATATAGCATGAGGCAACACTGTATAATGGAGGACACCAAGCATCTCTGTTTAAAGTCTGAAAGCAGATTTAGGATTGCCAAAAGTTCCTTAACCCTTTCATAAAGCAAAGAGTGAATAAATTTTAGGTGAAAGGAAGGTGAGGAAAACTTCACGTCACACAAACATAACTTCAGAAAATCAGGGAATACAAAGTAAATACAATCTTCATTTTGCTTTAATTAGTCTGTCCTTGAATGTTGTCCCAACACACCAACCATTACATCTGCTAAGATTTTCTCTTTACAGTTGCTAAAGAAACAGGGAACAGAGCAGATAAACATTGCGACATCAAAACTGAACACTTGTTTCTTCCTGAAGTTCGCTGTACTCAGTGGGCCTGCTTTAAACCAACCGCCCAGATGACCCGAGTACCACTCAGCCTTCTGCTGCGCTTCCAGCCAAGACGTATCCTCACTTACACTTCACTGCACTTGGGGGATCACCGCCGTGTGTGTTAACAGATGGGCTACAACATGCACCTTCGCTGACACTACTCACCAGCGTGGTACTGAAAGGAGGATGCTGGATCTCGGGGGGTTCGCACACACCTCTCCTCAGCTCTCGCCGACGGTTCCCCAGCTCACCCCTCCGCTGCTCTGCCGGTGCCAGCACACGCAGCCACAGCTCTCGGATCACCACGCGCCGTGAAGGCAGGGAGCAGCACATTCGGATTCACCACACTATACTCACTCGGAGACTGGCTAGATACTGTTTGACACACCTTTTGCTTTAACGCATAAATGTGATGCAATGTAATTTCCCTTTATATATGTACTCTGTTGGCCAGAGTGGCTTTCCTGTTTTCATCAAGGAGACAAAAGGTTTAAACTCTATAAAAGGTGGCTGATATTTAAGTTTTAATAAAAATATATTTCACGTATGTCATTCCTTCCTTAGACTGACCTAGTCTACAATATATTATTTACATAACTGCTGCAATATCTATTTCAAAACAGACTAGACAGAACTGTAGGCTGCCCTGCCTGTCACCGTGATAGGTAAACAGTGTCACCTTTTCAGGACCCGATGAATTATAGAGAAGTAGTGAAGTGCACCATCCATCACAATGGCACTAAGTAGGTTTTTGAAGTAGATTTCAGATCACAAATGCTCACATTTTTACTCACAAATGCTGTTTAGACTGTTACCAGAAAGCACAAATTGGATGGCTCACATACAATGGCTGTATGATGAATGGACATGACAGGTGGTCAAAGAAAATGAGTCTTGCTATTCTACAAATAACCTTGTCAACATGAAAGTAGAGCCATAGCTCTTCTGGTAGCCATGCTGCAATAACTTAATGGTTTTATTTGCTTGAACTTCTAGCAAACCAAATATACAAATGAGATACAATGAAGCAGCAGCATCGAAGCAATATTAGCAATTCAACTTGATTATGTGACGCGCAATAGAAATTTTCTACTAAGGATGTGTCACATTTGAAAGAGAATTATTCAGATTATGAGTAGCTATTACAAGAATACCTTCTCACAGGAAAACTCTCATGATTTTGCAATCACAATCCACTGCAAGATATTCAAAACACACAACTTGTAGCTCCACTGCAAGCAATCAAGTCACCCTCTGATGGCTGAACACAGCAACAGCCACCACCTGCTACTTCTCGTTTAAAGTTTTTCTACTTCCATTAGTTTAAATTGTAGACATTACTGTGTAGGACTGAAAGTCAGGGAGGTTAGATCACTACCAATTTATCCATAGCCTAAACAAAAAAGGAAATTTCCCTTTTAGGCAAAACTCTAGATCTAAGGACACTTTCGGTAGACATTTTGAAGAATAAAAGAAAACATCTGAAGTTTTGTGAGGGTGCTAGGTATCTCAAAGATCTGACTGTAAAATTGTGCACAGAGAGTCATTCTTGGCTCAAGTACAAGCTTTGAGTTTTGCCAAAGCCAAGGTACACCCCTAGTGATGAGTACATACACAGTGTGTGTGGTCCTCATTTCTGCAGAACTCAATCATAGATGAAACTGCTCTGAAATATAACTGAAAGTGGTACATGTGTTGCTGGTAATAACATCAATGATTTTTCCTGGAACACTGGATTTCCTTTAATCTGATGAATTTGTTAGCAACGCATTTATTTTCATGAAATAAATCTCAAAGGCCACAACTTTACTTTTATCTCATTACAGTTACTCTTATTACGTTACAATGAGAAAATAATATTACATACTGAGTTTCTAAGTGATAAATGTGAGAAGCCAAACCCATTCATTAGTACTTTCTACTTGCCCATGGAAAAGTTAAAGAATACATTGTGCAGGTTAGGACCTAGCCTTGCGTTCTTCATTTCACTTCTTAACAACAAACTTCAACCTGAAGTTGCTGCGTTGATAGAGCTGCAGAACAGAGGCTGTATGAAGATAAAGACCACGAGACTCAATATGGAAAGTAGGCATGTAAGGTACGCAAAAACAGGAGATGGAGAGAAGTCTCTCTCCCAAAGGAGAACAAGAACTCCATTCCTTCTCCTCTCTGGAATAAATCCCTTGGACTAAAAAGCTTCAATGCTTTTAAGAAAGAGAAGCTGAAGCTTGTGGACTTCAGGATGAGAAACTTAAGGATCTGACTTTCTACCAGCCCTCGTATTTCCTACAGTCCAAAAGTTGCAATTATATTAATAGTCCATAAAATGCGTTAGTTAGCATCATGCAACTTTCCTCATTTTGACTCATTACAAGATTTCCACAGTGCGTTACATGTTATCAATAAACATCACGGGCAAACGCTGTCACAAACAAAAAAATTCAGTAGCTGATATGCTATAAATGTTAAGATATTCACAAACTATAAAGGTATTTTGTAAGAGGTATCCTCCAAACCCAAAGCCATTCACAGTCTGTTCCTATATAATCTACTAGTGTTCTAAGTCATGAAAACAAACGTATCTTTTAAACAATACAGAAACCAAGATGGAAAAACCCCTGCATCATTTGAATAACATATAATATTTTAAAAAGGAGAAAGACAACAGTAACGCAGTTAGCAGTGAAATTGCAATTTTTATATTTCAGAAATATTTATTGAGATTTATATTATCTCAGCTAGGAAAGTAAACAGAAATTATGAGCCCTTTGTACACCCCCAATATATTTGGGAAGCAAATATAAGGAAGCAGCCAATGAAGACGGTAAAGACGATAAAACAAGATAATCCAAGATCTTTTTTTACTTGGCAAGTAACAAATTCCAACAGGCAGGATCTTTTCACTGACAAAACTTTCTAACAAAAGCTATAGTAAGATAAAAATACAAATCGGGGTTTTCAAGAGGAAACAGTGCAGATGTGTCAACTGAATTGCCACAGAAGCAAGCATACAAGATCCACAACCATAATTCAGGAGCTCCAGGTATTAGCCCAGCACTCCCGCCGGTCTCACTGCAGAAAACCTCATCTTACCCTTCCTACAGGCATCCCTCAAACCAGTAGCTCTTAGATATCAACAAGGATAAAATGTAGCTCTAAACACAGCTTTCAGATTTTTACACCCAAGCAAAAGATGCCAATTCAAAAACTCAGAAACTTTAAAAAAAAAAAAAAAAAAAATCATATGAAGCATTCAGGTCTGACTAATTTTTAAGTTTGAATTGGGATTGGCCACATCATATTTTACCTAAATATGTCTATTTTAAGGCTGGGCATTTCACCATGTGTACTTTGCCAGCCAACTTCAACAAAAGCTGATGTTTTCTAACTCTATTTCACCACAAATGACAGAGACAAATGGTCATATTACCTCAAGAGTTCCTTTGGCAGAGTAAGCTGCATACGAGTATAGGAGGTCTTGGCTGTGAAGCGTTTTGGGCTCTCTGTTGCACTGTTGTCCACTAGGATAAAAGCATTCACCGCTGTTTTTCAGAGTTACTGTGTTTGAAGAAGAGCCCGGTAGGTCAAGCAAAACAGAGTAATTTACCAGCCGGACATCTTCAAGGCCTTGGGAACTCCACTGAACGAGAATTTTCATTGCAATGTCTACATCATCTTCTCCAGGGAACTGTAACAAATCTCTGGAAAAAACACACAAGTAAACAGAGTTTTAGTTTATTTCCCACCAAGACACGTGTACCTTAATACGCGTCAGTCCATAATTTTATTCATAATGTATCATCAAACATGCAAAAAAAAAAAATCACCTTTCATTTTTTTGCATATAATTTCTTACCAACTGTGAGACAAAAGCAACTGCTTTTTGAAAAGAAAAATAAGGAAAAAAGTATTTATAGCAAACATATCCAATTAAAACATAAAGAATCCTGCAGAAATTATCACAGTAATTGTTTCAAAATTCATCTCTCTGGTGCTGATCAAGTTTCTGATAGAGCATCAATTCACCAACCATTGAATATGAAGAACGCAATCTGAAGTAACATTTCAGGGACTTCAGGGAGGGTATGATGCTGAAGATTAGTTGTAATTATATGTTTGGCTTAAATTCATCACGTAAAGCAAATCTGCTAAACAGAATGGAACTGTTCCCCCAAATATTGTGCTAGCTGTCAGAAGGTTTTCCTCAGATTTCCTACCTGCACTGAAGGATTACCTGAGCCAACAGCTTGGCAAGCATACGACATGAGCCTGGAAATGATTTTGGCAGTATCTACAAGATGGGCCAATTGAGACTTCAGATGGGTTGGTCTGGGCTTGCATCACTGGCTTTGTATCGCTGTTCAACACCTGCTACCAGATGGGCCATAGGATGAAAATGGTGACGGCACTGAAGGACCACCCTCCCCAGCAAATGCCGAAAGATACCAGATGTAGAGAGCATTTTACAGATAACTCTAGAGGACAGATATGCTGAAGGGACAACTGAAGGCTTTCCCT